GTCTCAAAAGCAAATCCGAGCTTAAACGCCTCACGGACAGCTGAGACCAGTATCAAAATTTGCACAAGAAGTGCAGAGTGTAGTATGAGTATAACCAACCCAATGTACTCCGTTAGTGTCGAGCCTAATCTCGACGAGGTAGTGATGAGGCTATGACAGGACACCCACGTAAATAAACCTGTGCAGACAACAATATACGTATAACATAACAACAATTAAAGTCTAGACATGTACTGTTGGGAGGGGACATAAAAAAAGGTGTACAAGATACGATAAGTACAACAGGGAATGATATCAAGAAACAGCCAATAAGCCCTTAACCAGCAAAATGAATAAACATAATGAACGAAACTGCACGGCATCACCCTTCGTGCTTTTACTCTCAACTTTACTATGAAACAATAATAACGGCACGATATCACCCTTCATTCGTTTACTCTCACTTTCATCATAGATTAGTAGATACGGTACGGCATCACGCTTCGTGCATTAACTCTCAAAATATGGCATGGCATCACCCTTCGTGCATTAACACTCAAATACGGCACCGCATCACCCTTCGTGCATTAACACTCTTCCTTACTCTATAACAATGAACATATAACAACAGGGAGATGGAATGAACAAGAACAAGCCTTACGTCAATATGGTTCCATTATACCAACCTCAATTTTAGAAATAATACTCAATTATCACATATAGTCCATAAACGCGGAAAGAACTATCAATTTAGTAATTAACTAGTCTAAGCATGGATATCATGATAAAAAAAGCACTAAATTACAAGAAACAAGTCCAACGCGCATGCTTTAGCCCAACAACAACGTATAAGTACTCGTCACCTCACATATACGTTGTACCCAATATTTAAACAAGTAGCAAATAGGAAAACAAGTCCTAATTCATCAAGTCAATGTTAACCAGGACAATTACCTCACTCCAAAGATCAACTCAAAGCTCAACCATAGCTTTATTTTTCAAACTAGTCTCCGGACCAACAAAATATAGCAAATTACCGACCAAACGATTCAAAATAAGCCTTGGAAACTACACACGACTGCAAAAGATTCAATTTAAGTCATTATTGAAAAAGTCAACAAAAGTCAATCCCCAGGCCCGCTTGGTCCAAACCCAAAATTCAGACCAAAACCAGATTACCCATTCACCCCAGCCTAGATATGTAATGTGTTTTAAAATTCAGCCTTAATTTGAGGTCTTAATTCTAATTTTACAAAAATCCCTAATTCTACCCAAACCACCAATTTCCACCATGAAAATACTAGATTTTATCCGCGCCTCATTTCCTCACCTGCTAAAAAAAAAAATTTAAACACTCTCCGTACAGGCGACTCACAGCTACAGTACCCACGCAGTGGCGATATGGCCACTGCTCCTCCGTCCACCGGTGGAAAACCACCGGACCAACGCCAAAAGATGCGCCTATCAAAGGCGAACACAGTCCAACAAATTTCACTCAAAAACTCCAACCCAGCTGCTACGAATCTCAAAAATGGCGACGCGATCACTATAGCAAATAATCGCCTGGGTGCTTCTGAAAATTCCCAGCTCAATTCTGGGCCAAACATAATAATTTCAAACCAAGGAGACTCTTCTCCATCACCAGGCGCAACTCCTCTCCAAAAATCAACAGATTCCACTGTGGGAATCACTCCAAATGATCTACTGAAGAATGAAGACAGCTTAGAGGTGGCCGGAAATGGAGTTCTAACCGGTCAAATTGAGAATGCTTGGTACCAAAAGATGCGCAAGGAAGAGAACAACAACATTGAACCATCAATTTTATATTGGTACCAATCAACAGCTTCAATTTTACAATCTCTTCACCCAATCAACTCAATTCCATCAGGTGGTCGACAATATGCCACCCTCCCCTCTGGGCCAATTGGAATGCTCCAACCTACTTCAAAGGTTCCTACACTTCCTAAGGAGCAGGTAAGCAAAGTTTCCTGCCAATATAATATAGGAACTGATCAAAAATCTCAAAAGAGAAGCTCAGAAGTCCGTCAATTGGCCGGCCATGGGGTTATGTTGAACCAAATGGCCCAAGACTAATACCAAACGATCCCCAATGCTCAGGAGATTGATTCCAAATCATCTAACCAGATTTTAATCGAGCCAATCTTGTCGAATACTAAAAATGGTAATCTAGCAGACTTAACTTCCATAGGTGTTCGACCAAATGCTTCAGTCATTTCTGTCACCCCAATTGACAAAACAACCAATGTTGCTCCTCATTCTAATCCTATGGATGTCAGTTGTCATGTTTCAATCCAAGAAGTTCCCCAAAAGGAAAGTGATCATACCATGTCCCAGCCCTTAGACCCTCATTTGACAACCACAGATGCATTAGCTGCTTCTCTGGTTCAAAGCCAAGTAAAAGGGACCCTGCTGCCAATGAAAACTCCCCAGGTTCTATTGCTCAGCATCATCAACAACACCAGGTACATCTCACCAATCCTCCTCACAACTCCATAAAAGTTTCCTCCAATTTTGACAAGCCAAAATACCCCAAAAACAACTCCAGGCCACCAGCAAAAAATGTAGACACCCCTGCCCCTGCACAAGTCACTCCACAACTTCCTGCTACTACCAACACTAATTACAAAAACCACCAATACTTCAAATAAACCCAAAACACCAAACACCTTGTCCCAGCCTCCACCACCAACAGTCAAACAATAATTTGTTATAAGATTGAGGGCCAGACATGAAGTAGAGATTTCACCAATTCAGTTCACAACCCCTGTCATTACCGCCAAACAAGGGAAACCTGCTGTGATCTTTAAGAAAGAGGATTACATGGTCAAGTTTGCTGACATATGTAAATTTACAGTAGTAGGTAAATTCCAACACACCATGCCAAGGATGGAAATCATCAGAAAAAGTTTTATTGCACAAACTGAACTAAGGGGTGGGGTTAAGATAGTTCATTTTAATGCAAGGACAGTGTACATTGACCTTGACAATGAGTATGATCACTCTACTCTCTGGTCCGAACAAAACATGTACATTCAGGGCCAACTGATGAGAATAGAAGCATGGAACCCCATTTTCAAGCCTAATGAAGACTCCCCCATTGTTCCAATTTGGATAATGATCCCTGAATTGCCATGGCACTTGTATTACATGGAGATTCTCACTCCATTGCTGTCTCCAATTTGCAAAGCTCTATTCCTGGATTTGGCCTCTTTTCAAAAGACTAGAGACAGTATGGTAAAGATAAAACAAATTGACCTCACAAAGGAGAGGCCAACTCATGTCTGGCTTGGCTATGATGAGGACCAGGATGTCAATGGGGATGGCCAATGGCTTGAAGTTCAATATGACAACCTCCCGTCCTACTGTTCTCACTGCAGACACCTTGGTCACTATACCCAGGCATGCCCAGTTAACCTCAGAGAAAGGGAGACTCAGAAAAGAAAAGAGGAAGATGCAGCTGCAACAACATCATCACAGGCCAAGATTTCATAGAAGCATATAGAAAAAGCTGAAACAAGTCAGCAGCACCACAACAACAGATCATAGGAAAGAGCAAACAAAGGGGTGCAGGACCAAACTGATAAATCAAAAACAATAGACCATTACAAGGCAAATCAAGCTCAAAATGAGGACAATGTTCCACCAAAAGATGAATCGCAAACTCAAAGGAGGAAAAATTTCAAAGGAAATTCTCAAAACAAGAAGCAGCAGCAGGCTTACATACCTAAGCAGCAACCAAACCAATCAGCCCCCTCTGTAAAGGCTGAGCCAGCTCTTGCATCAATTGAACTGATCAATCAGTAACTGCTGATGTAGCTGTTAAAGATTCTGCTGCTCAGAATCCTGTAACCCAATCCCAATCCTCCCCAGTTGCTTTGTCTGCTAAAGAAGTTAAAGGAGGTAGGGAGGTCTGTCAGGAGAAACCTAGTGTTACACAGGATGGGGTACCTACAGGGGTGGGTGTTCCTCATGTTTTGCATGGGTATGCAAGTGCACATATAGTTGACCCTAGGTTGGACTGTCAAACCCCTGCATCCACTATCAACAAGTAACCTCAGTACTCAGAGGAACCTGAATATTGTGAAGTCACCAGTTCTGACGAAGAAGACTTAGCCAAGGATGATGATCATTTCAGGAGGGTTTTGAAAGGTAAAGCTAAAGTTCCAGACATCAACATACAACCTCTAAACCAAAAAATAAACCCAGCCAAAAGAAAAGACAAGCAATAAGGATACAAAATTCAGGAATCAGCATAAATGAGCCACCTGATCCTTCCCAGTTCTTAAGCCCAAAAATCCAAGGAAAGTTCAGACCTGACCATACACCAATAGAGGAGTCCCCTATTTTCAGGAATCATGTCATTGTTAATCCTTCCCTTTCTCAACCTATGCTACCCAATAAAGAGTCACACTCAGATGGAAATGAATCTGATCTGGCCACCAATAACCAAAATCACCCCAAGTCCAAATCACACAAGTCCAATTCTGCCCTTACCAGCACCCCTAGAAAAAACCATCCTCTAGATATGGTATTGGAAGAATGTCCTCTCAACAGATATACTCCATAGCAGGATGAGTATAGACCAATTGAATCTGAGGATGAAATTGATGGGAACCAAGAAGTTGACAGAGATTCTAGTGATGAATATCTTGAAAAGGAAAAACATTGTGAGCTTTTGATTGCTGCATTAAATGGATAGCCAAATCAGGAGAAAGATGCTCCTGCATCTCTGTCAACTAGAAAAAGCCCTTCTCCAAGGATAACCAGAAGTAGAGCTGCTAGAATCAGAAGCAGCAGTGTCCCACCAAAACACAACCTTAAACCCCCCCCCCCCCGGTCCAATGATTAGTACAATCATTTGGAATGCAAGAGGCATCAGAACCTCTAGAGCTATTGAAAGTCTTAGAATTCTAAAACACATCCATAAATTTTCCTTCATTGCAGTCCTAGAACCATTCCTTGATACCTCTCCTATCAACTTTTTCATACTCCAACTCTCAATGCACCAAGCTGCTTCCAATGTCAATGACAAGATGTGGGTCTTCTGGGATAAAGAATTCAATGCTTCAGTCACTGATCATGATGAACAACAGTTAACACTTGAGATGAGACATGTGGAATATGACTCCCCTTTCTTCCTCATTGTTGTATATGCCAAATGCAAGCCAATTCTGGGAAGACCCTTGTGGGAAGTGTTGAGACACAAATCAGCTACTTATGATTCTCCATGGTGTGTGATTGGTGACTTCAATGTTATTGCCTCAGTTGAAGAAAAGATAGGAGGCATTCCTTACCAAATGAACAAAAGTCTGGATTTCCATTGCATGATAGAAGATTGTGGCTTGGTGGATTTGGGCTTCTATGGTCCCAAATGTACCTGGTCCAATGGCAGAGGTCAATGCTCCATTGTTTGGAAAAGATTGGATAGAGGGCTTTCTAATGACTAATGGTTAGCTGCTTTTCCTATTACTGCAGTCTCTCATTTAGCATCAGCAGGTTCAGATCACACCCCCCTCCTCATGGAGATGAGAGTTAGGCAAGAAAATAGCACCAAGTACTTTAAGTTCCTAAACCTGTGGGTTGACAATCCTAACTTCAAGCCATTTATTCAAGGAATCTGGGATAATCATGTAACTGGTAGTCCTATGTGGATCTTCCATCAAAAATTGAAATCCCTCTCAGCTGGTTTAAGTCAGTGGTCAAGGCAAGAATATGGTGACATCTTCCAAAAGGCAAAAGAATATGAAGAAAAGGTAAAGGTAGCAGAGATGGTTTGGGCTCAGACCAATGATGAAATTGACAGGGCAAGCCTTCATGATCTTAAAGCCCAATACATAAGATACATGGAGTTAGAGGAGAACTTTCTTAAACAAAAAACCCACCTTTAGTGGTTCAAAGATGGAGATGCAAATACCAAATACTTCCACAGCCTCATCAGAGGCAAAAGAAGAATGTTATACATCCACAAGATCAGAGATGAAGATGGGCAATGGATTCAGGGTGATGAGGCTATTGGTAGTGCAGCCTGTGACTTCTACCAAGACCTCTTTACTGATCCTGGAGGACCAATCAGAGAAGATCTTTTGCCATGTATTCCTTCTATGATTACTTAGGAGGACAATGATACTCTATCTGCAGATCGTACTCTATCAGAACTCAAAGAAGTTGTCTTCTCCATGAACCCTACCAGTGCTGCCGGACCAGATGGCTTTAATGGCAAATTTTACCAATCTTGATGGGACATCATCAAGAATGACCTCCTGAATGTTATGATAGCCTTCTTTGGTAGTTGCTCAATGCCCAAATACATGACTAGTGCATGCTTGGTTCTCTTGCCAAAGGTGGAATTTCCTAACTCTCTGACTGAATTTAGACCCATCAGACTCAGCAACTTCATTAATAAGATCATATCCAAAGTCATTTGCACCAGACTTGGCCCCATTCTCCCCAGAATTATCTCTGCTAACCAGTCTGGATTCGTTAAAGGAAGGAACATCTCTGAGAATATCATGCTTGCTCATGAAATTGTCCATGGTATTAAGAAGCCTAATGAAGGATTAAATGTTGTCATCAAACTAGACATGGCCAAAGCCTATGACAGGGTCTCCTGGAGTTCTACTTGCCTTATGCTAAGGAGGATGGGGTTTGGTGAAAGGATCATTGACATGATCAGGAGAACCATGTCTAATAATTGGTACTCAGTAATTGTCAATGGCTCCAAATGGGGATTCTTCCATTCCACCAGGGGCCTAAAACAAGGAGATCCCCTTGCTCCTGCCCTATTTATTATAGGTGCTGAGCTTCTATCCAGAATGCTTAATATCATCAATCATGATCAATTATTCAATGGTTTTTATATGGAAAGAAGGGGCCCTCAGCTCAATCATTTGAGTTTTGCTGATAATATCATAATCTTCACCTATGGGAAAAGGTCCTCTCTTCAGAAAATCATGTGGATCTTGAACAATTATGAAAGCACATCTGGCCAACAGATTAATAGACACAAGAGCCACTTCATGACATCCCCCTGTGCTTTCTCCTCTGCTGTCAGACGAATTCAATCTGTCACTGGATTCACCAAGAAGTCATCTCCCCTCACATACTTAGGCTGCCCTTTGTACATTCGTAGGCTGAGAATCATTCACTTCAACACTTTTGTCTCTAAGATTGTAAGCAGAACGTGGCTGTCATGGAAAAATGTTGTCTCATGGAGGCAGAGCAACCCTCACCAAATATGTCCTACAGTGAATGCATATCCACCTGCTGGCAGCTGTTTCTCCTCCTATGACAGTAATGAAACAAGTGGAAAAACTAGCTGCAAATTTCTTCTGGGGAATGGAAAACAACAAAAGAAAGTATCATTGGGCTTCTTGGCACAAACTTTGCTTCCCTGTGAATGAAGGAGGCCTAGGCTTCAGGAAAATTGAAGATATCTGCAAGTCTATGGAATACAAGCAATGGTGGTATTTCAGAACTACCCAGTCCCTATGTAGTAGCTTCCTGAAAGCCAAGTATTGCCAGAGATCTAACCCCATCTCTAAGAAATGGGATACAGGTCAGTCTCAAGCTTGGAAAAGACTGATAACCAACAAAAGAGAAGCTGAGAAGACTATACAGTGGAGACTTCACTCTGGGAACTGCAGCTTCTAGTGGGACAACTGGCTTGGTGTTGGGCCTTTAGCATACCACAAACATGAGGGAGGCAGGCCAGGGAACATCACTATCTCTCATTTCTAGGATTCAGGTCAGTGGAACATTCAGAAGCTCAATGCTTCTGCTCCTGCCAACATGATCCACCTAATTATGCAAAATCCCATTTTCTTCAATAGTAACATCCAAGATACAGCCATCTGGACCCCTTTTACTGATGGTAGATTTACTTGTGCAACTTCTTGGGAGCTAATCAGGATCAAGAAACAACCTAACTTCTCCAACAAGATGACATGGCATAAGAAGATCCCATTCAAGCGGTCCTTTTGCCTTTGGAGAGCCCTCAGGAACAAACTCCCTACTGATGACAGGGTGCTTTCCTTCAGCAGCCCTACTGTGACAAGATGTGTGTGCTGCTCCTTTCACACAAATGAAATTGTTGATCACATTTTTAGCAGGGGTAATTTTGCCAGTTGGGATCCATACTGAAGACTTTCCTTTCAAAATCCTTCTAATGAAGTGGTGGCTCTTACACAGTAATAATGAAGTTCAGAAACCCATCCTTCACTCCCTTCCTATCATAGTCTGCTGGAACCTATGGAAGAATAAGTGTAGTGCAAAGTATGGAGCAAAGTCAACTTCCTTAACAAGAGTCTTGTTCTCCATTAACTCTGACATCAACTTGCTGCTGAGGGCCAATTGTCCTGAAATCAAATGGCCTCTCAATTGGCAGGAGCTGTACCCATTTATTGAGAACTTAAAACATCAAACTTTCTCTGCTCAAGTAGTATGGGAAAAACCAAGCTAGGGCTATGTCAAAGTTAATAGTGATGGGAGTGCTTTCACAAACCAGGTAGAATAGGAGCAGGAGTGATCATTAGAGATCACAACTCTGGGTTCATTCATGCAATGGCAGCTCCCTTAGGGGAAGGGACCAACAACTTTGCAGAAACTGAAGCTGCCTTTTTAGGAATCCAATGGTGCTTGAATAATGGGTTCACCAAGATCCACTTGGAATCAGATTCTGCTCTCCTAATTCAATGGCTAACCAAAGGTAGAAATTTCCCATGGTCCATCAAGATGAAGTTACAACAGCTCCTTGATCTCTACAACCTATGTGAAAGCTTCATCTGTTCACATACTTATAGAGAAGCCAACTGCCCTATAGATTCCCTGTCAAAACTCAGTCATGATCTCACCACTATGACTGAGTATAACAATGTCTCAGCACTAACTACTCATATCAAAGGACAGATTCAGCAGGACTTCCTGGTTACCCCTACCTTTAGACATAAGAGAACCAGAAAGATTATGGTTCCTTCTCACCATGCAAGTTCTTTCACTTCATCTCATGGTTATGGCTGATGTTACCTTGACTCTGGGCCCCCCTATATTAGTCCAAAATTCCATGATGCAGGACATCACAAACAACAATAGCTCCTTCCCTTATAGGAGCAACACATTCAAGATTTTTACTAACCTTTCTTGTTCTTTTGCAGGTTGTTCTTTCCTATAAACTACCCACCCTTTTGCTAGAGTTTTAGAGTGTGGTATTAGCCTTTGTGCTCATTCTCCTGGAACTCCAGCAAAGGATTGCTGTAGGTTACAGGGAGAAAGGTAATCCATCCAAGTCTGAAAAGAACAATCCAATGCACATCCCAAAGGCCTTTCTTCTGATTTTTCTAAGAGGTGGTCATTGGCACACAACTGATCCCAAATTCCACACCACATATCACTATAAGACCACACACATACCAACCCAACAACACAACACCTTACAAAGGCCAATCCATTCCACACCTAATCCAAAGCACCCTTATAGACCTTGGCCACCTCTTTGGTTCTGCACAAATGCTCCTAGAACCCACAAGAACCTAGGAGTAGATCTTCTAATCTTGAAACCCAATACTTATCACACAAATCTCAAAAAACCTCCTAAAAGCAGCAGAATCAAGAACCTGGGCAGAAATGCCCAATTTTCCTCTAACTCTATTTTATTTTTTTACAAGTCTTCAGTCATCCTCCATGATCAATCAGTTGATATGTTTTCTGGGAGTGGTATCAACATCTTGGATGTTCATTCTCCTGAATACATATCAACTGACCACCACTGATCAAACTGGCAACAACAACAACTCAAAGCTGCACCCAAAGAAAGCAGCTGATGCAGAAGCAAAAACTGCAGAAATTACTACTGTCAATAGCAGTAATCTCTCAGTTAGATCCAACCAACATTCCTCAATTGATCCTATGCCTCAACAACATACTTCTTCTGCCAACAGGAAAGGAAAGCTATCTGAGCACACTTCTTCAGGAAAATCAACACCAAAGAGATGCAGGACCTCACAAAAATGGTCCTGCAATTGGAAGGGTATTCCAGCAACCTTAATACACCTCCCCAACAACAGAAGTATCAGTACAAAAGGCTGCAGTCAACACAAGAACCTGCACCCTGTGCCTTCAACCCCTCAACTCTCAAAGTTAGTACCAGAACACACAAGAACATGGGAATTAAGGCAGTTTCACAACAATGCATGCAGAAAACACAAGAACCTGTAGGCAACTGAGCATCAGAACTTGCTACAATTTCAAATACCTACATGCAGTCCACACAAGAACCTGCAAGTAGGTTCTCAGCAAGACTCTATGATGCCATCACCTCTTTGGTCACCAAACTCACCTCCAGAACCCACAAGAACCTGGAAGGTGAGAACTTTTATACTAACAAGTTTGTTCAATTTTGCAGGTACTCTGGGTAGGTTTGGTCAATTGTTGAACTTTAAGCTAGTGGTATTAGCATCCCAGATGCTCATTCTGCTGAAAGAGCATCAATCTCCCCAAGCATCCCAAATCACCCGTTCACAAGGATACCAGTTCACCACCTCCTGGCTGCTAATCCCATTCAGCAATACATCAAAGAGGCAGCCAGTACTCAGCTCACAGCAGGCACAATGTTGCAGATTGGTGCTATCTCTGGATAACCGACCTCAGGAAACACAACAATCCACTGTCTTATGGATGCAAATTCATCAGCAACAACATGCCATTTGCTCAACTCTCAAGCAGCAGTACACTAGGGAGCTAGATTCTCATGGCAATAATGTACTCAGGCAAGCTGTACATCATAAAGCCATCTGGAGAAGTGAAGCAAGCAGATACTCACTCTCTTCTGACATCAACAAGAAGCAGCAACCCCTCAACCCAATAATTGGGACCTTTTTGATAGCCATCTTCAACTTAGCTTTCTTTGCTCTCAATGTCAAAGCAAGGTTGAAGATGCCCCCCCCCCCCCAGCATCACCTATTTTTTGTCATATTCCCCAGGGATCTTCTACACTTTCATTAGATGTAGAATTGTTTGTATATGGAAGAAAGCCTTCCAACTCAGCTCTTTGGTAGATTTATGTTCATATTTTGTATAGTTAACCTAGGTTTACTTCAGCTTGACTTTGCATACCTAATTACTTATCATATGTGGATAGGTAATAGGAACATCTTTATAGGTCTAACCTTTTATATTGTACAGGATCCATTTGGTTGTCATCCTTGGACAATCAAATGTCCTTTCATCATTCTCTGGAGGTTAGGTCTATGCCCCCTCCAGTTTTTGTACTTTATGTTATATATATGAAATTCAACCCTAGGCACAATGCCTAGTGGACTTTACTAAAAAAATACTAGCTTTTAGGTTAAAATCTTATGAAATGTAATGAATGAATGAAAGGAAATTGGTTAGAATCAATTACCAATGAATTGGGGAAGAAGGGCTCTTGGAAAATTTGCCTCTAGGGTTCTCTAGGTTTGAAAATTTGAAAGAATGAGATAATTCCCGTCTAACTCAGCTTTTACCCAGCTGCAGATGACGCAATTGCATTATCTTGTTCGCAATTGCAAACATCCCAATTGCGAGAAAGAGCTCAGAATTGTGAACTCCTTTCAGAATCCCAGTGAATGCGATTACGATAAAATGGTCACAAATACGAACTCTGATGCCCCCGCAAATACGTACCCTTCTTCACAAATGCGAAGATCCTCAAAATAGTGTTAGTCGTAATTGCGACTATGCCTTTGCAAAAGCAGAAATGTCAAGTTCGCAATTGCAAACTTTACCTCGCAAATTCGAATGATTCTTCGCAAATGCGAGGCTTGCAAATGCGAGATCTGCAGTAGGCACCAGAAACTAAATGCATCAGCTATGATTTTAAGTCCAATTTCACTCTGTAGCCTATCTGAAACTCACAGGAGCCCTCGGGGCTCCAAACCAAACATGCATACAATTCCAACAATATCATACGAACTTGCTCACGCGATCAAATCGCCAAAATAACACCTAGGACTACGAATCAGACACCAAATCAAATAAAATTTTCAAGAAAACTTTAGAATTGCAATTTTAATAACTAGACGTCTAACTCACGTCAAACTAATTCCGTTTCTCATGAAATTTAACATGCAAGTCATAAATATAGTATCATACCTATACCGGGTTTCGAAACCAAAATACATACCCGATATCAATAAAGTCAAACATTGGTCAAACTTTTAGATTCATTAAGCCTTCAAACTTCAGTTTTTCAACAAAATACGAAAACTCGAGCTAGGGACCTCCGAATTCGATTCCGGACATACGACCAACTCCCAAATCACGATACAGAGCCATCGGGACCGTCAAAACATGGATCCGGATCCGTTTTCTCAAAATGTTGATCGAAGTCAACTCAAATAGATTTTAAGGCAAAATTTCATATTTTATCAATTTTTAGCACAAAAATCTTTCGGAACAATACCCGGACTGTGCATGCAAATCAAGGAAGGCTCAAATGAGGTATTTGAGGTTTAGAAACACTGAATTAGGGTATAAAACTCTAGATGACCTATCGGGCCATCACAAACAAGAATCTTACTATAAGGATATAAAGAATGTAGCTACTGAAAGGAATATTAACATGTAAATTAGAACAAAAACTTATATATGAAACAATTTCGCGATTTACTAACCATATGCGTCCTTGATTTTTTTAGAACTAGAATAAACTAAATAGTTGGGAAGAAAGACAAATGTATAGGAAACCTTTAAGAACTAAGTTGTAAAACTTATGGGGTTAAAGAAAAAACTCAACCCATAGAATTATTTAAAATTGTAATGCTTCAAACTTTTAATAATCTTTTAATTAGTGCGGCTTGAGATAGAGTGATAAGTAGGACTTTGACTGCTTATTTGCTCTCTTTTACTTGCGTTTTAGCTAAAACACGCTTAACGGTATTTCTGAAATCTAATGAAACGTGCTTTCTTGTAGGAATATTGAAAAACGAGCCAAAGAAGTAAAAATAAACTCAAAAGGAGCAAAAATTGGACAAGGACCAAAACAGGGCAATAAAGGGCCACACTGCGGACCACACAATATTGTGTGCGGCCGCAAAACTCTGAAGGAGAATTGATGGAATTTCCTCACAAAGTGCGGGTCGTACACTTATTGTTCGGCTGCAGGAAACAAGCTTCAGAGAACTTGCATGTTGGTAGATTGAAGATATGTGGACCACACTATTATTGTGGGGCCGCAGGATGCCAAGTGCGGCCGCACTAATAATTGTGTTGTTCGGAGAAGAGGAGAATTAGAGAGCCATGTTGTTGGAAGATTGAAGAAATGCAGCCGCACTCATAAATGTGTGGTCCGCATAATGAAGGCCAGCTCCAGTCCAAGTTCAAGTGTGCGGCCGAACTTAGAAATGTGCGGTCCGCACAATTAAATGAAGTGCGACCGCATTCCAATTTTATGCGACCGTAGAAAGCCCAATTGACCAGTCAATCTCAAAACGCCGACCACACACAGAATTGTACTGTCGCACAACCTCCGCATGGGCAATTTTGTCAGATATTTTCAGCTTAGTATAAATAGAACTTTTGTCATATTTAGGTAAAGTTTGGTATGTTGGGAGCACCTGAGCCATTTTAATTAACGGTATTGGGTAACATTGTATTAGATTAGCTTTTAAACATTAGATTTTCTTTCCATAATCAAGTATTACGAATTCTATCTTATTTTCTTCTTTAATTTCTTTATTTTCCATGAGTAGCTAAACCCTTAACAAGGGTTGTGACCCAACCCTAGTATGGGTACTTAATGGGTAATTGATTTAGGGCTTATTTATAATTGGGTTTATGATATTTAGCCCGGTTCTTTCTTGAATTTGTGAATTGATGGTTACAAACATTGATTCATGCCTATTTGACTTAGTCTCTACTTGATAAAGAGTGACTAAGTCTAGGAAAACTTGGCTAACTAGGAATTGGGGTGAACTCAAGAAATTGATATCCCCAATTAAAGGGTCGAACCTAGAGATAGTAAGACCCGACTAGAGCATTTA